GTTATTAATGATTTAAAATTATACATATGAATTAAGTGTAACCTCAGCATATACTTAAATATGTAGAAAAAGCAAAAACAAAAAGACAAAAATGAGAGGAGGTCCATAATAACACAAAAAAAAAAAAAACAAAAGAAAAAAAAAAGCAAAGAAATGAAATTTTGAAAATCATAAATTCGTCTACTGATGATTGTAAGAATTTTTTTTTGTTATTTTTAAAACTGACCGATATGTGGTGCTATTATTCTAATTTTAATGAAATCTTATGAATATGTGGGTACAATTTAGTAAATAAGGACACTATAATATATTGTGTACACAAACATATGCACCCTAGTTTCGTATAAGATCTATTTATATACTTACATTTTTTTATATTTGTTTGTATGTATAGATACTATATTATAACATGTACATTTATATACTATATAAATTTATATTTATGTACATAAATTTGTTATGAATCGTGTGAAAATTTTTCATTTTATACGTTTTTATAAATAAAAATGTATAAAATACATTTTATTTCTATTTGACATTTTATTCAGATATTTTAAAATATTAAAGAGGACGTATAGTATTGAGTTACTTAGAAATATTTTTACTTATACACATACAATATGTTTTACATTTTCTTATCTAAACGTTAATAACCTAGGCAAATTATAAAAATTTTGTCTTATAAATGGTTATCTAAGTAATTTAATATACTTTGATTTTAAATGAGCAAAATTAAATAAAAACATGATAGAAATAAATTTTTTAATTATACGAAAATTATTAACTGGATTTTAATGTAAAATTGTTAAAATATTAAATAATTTTTACAATAAATATTGTTTCAACATAATATTTAGACTCCACACTCATAATTATGTTTTATATCAGCTGTCTGAAATAGATATGTACGAATCTTAACTCAAAGTACTTAAAAATAATTAGAAATCATGAAAATTCAATAAAATTCTAAGATTATAAATATTTCGGTAATTTTTAGTTTTATATTTATTTGAAATTTTTAGATTACAGAAAGATTTTTTAAGGGATAAAAAATTAGGGGCAGTGATTAATAAGAATCATTATAAAAATTTTGGAAAATTAATTATAATATACTAAGATTCCTAAACATTAAGATTTTGGTATATTTCATGGCGCATATAAAACAATATGAAAATTCCTCAGCACAAAATATAGAAATGAAAAGATAATTGTAAGATATATGAAGTATGTAAGTATTTTCATCTGCTTTATTCAAAACTCATTGATCTTATTGTATATGGAAATGTTTATGAAATCGCTGTTTTTAATAAAAAGGGCTGTTTTTAATAAGTTGGTCATTTAAATAAATAAATGCTCTTAAAAATCTTAATAATAAAATATGACAGTTTTCGAATATTGTGATATTTTATATAAGTGAAAAAATACTCCGATCTCTTTGACTTGCGGTAATTATATTTTAATTTGTAGTTGCAATATAAAAAGAAAATAATGAGCTTTAATAAAATCTCGAATAATTAAATATATTCTATTAAATATTTAATGTTTTACATAACTTGTTTTTGAAAGATTTCATTGAGTCTATTGGAAAGATAAGAGGATAGATACAAAGCCTCATAAACAATGATTAAGACAAAACTGTTAAAAGATTGTAATAGAAAGGTTTTTTAATTTAAATTGCGATTCAAATTAAATTTATAAAATAAAATTATACGTAAATTTTTTAAAAGTTTTTCTAGATTTTTTCTACCGAAAAGACAATTTTCCATTTATTTTTCTAATGAATCATTGAATTTAAAAAAAAATCGACAATTTTATTAAATTTACAATATCTAATTTTTTATTTAGTTGGCAACCGTATTACATACATAAATGGTATAATCAAACAAACAAAAAACTATTTTAAAAGTTTTTTTTCTCTTGCCTATAGCAGAATCAATACAGTGAACTTGTGAACTATAAATTTTAAAATCTTTCCCAAATTTTAAATCTTTGTGTTTTTTACGTTCCTATTTCTTTTTTTTTTTTGTTTTGTATTTAATTATTTTATTTTAAATACGATATCATTTATTTTTATTATTATTTTGATTTATATAATATAAAAAATTCAATTGATTTTATTTATTTCATCATTCATGAATTTTATATTAATTGCATAAACAATTTTATTGAAAATCGTAGGAGTTTTCACGAATTCTTAGGTTGGTATGTTGGAAAATGAAAGAAAAATAAAGAAATTGTACATGAATTTTTAATTTCAAAACTTTGGAAGGTTAAAATTATATTGAAATTGAAAATTTATAATTTATGAAATTTCAAATATTTTTTTTTTTATTTAATTATTATGATTGCAAATTGTGTTACAGCTAGTTTCTATTTTCATACTAATGAATAAGTCTGAAAATTAACAAAAAAAAAAGGAAAAACTAAAATTCTTACGAAAAATAAAAAAAAAAGCAAAGAAAGGAAAAATAAGCAAACAGCGAAGAAAATTAAAAGAAAAATAAGAATGAAAATCTTAAATTGCACCTTCAAAATTCTTGAAAATAGTGTGATTAACTTTAAGAATGCAAAATTTAAAGTCAAAAGCCTGTATATGAACGTTTGGGAATTTCTTGACTTATCAAATTCACAGTTCCTAATAAAAAAATTTGGATTTAATAATTCATTTTTATTTTATAGTACTACATAATTTTAATCAAATGGTAAATATATAAAATCCTCATATATTTCATGTCTACTTTCCTCAATTCATTCTTGATTTCCTGGGTGTGTAGGCAATTAATGTTCATTGATTTTTTTGGTTTATATTGGAATAAGGACCTTAAATCAGTAATAAGTCAGCAGAATTTGAATAAGAGGTAAATGTGAAGGAAGAAAAGTTTAATCTCTTTTAAAGTAAAATTGTTTTCCCGGTTCCTTGAAATTTCTAACAATTTGACCCTATTTAAGTGGTTATTTTTTATCTTTTATTTAAGTGTAGGTATTTTTAAGCATTTTTTATGAGTTTTAATAAATTTACATAAAAAATTTTACTTTTTGAAAAAAAAATTAGCATAAAAGAGACACTGATAGAGTTACGAGTATACTCAACTGAAATTGGGCAAATATAAGAAAGTGTGTGGGGTAAATATTTCGGTCTTTCGAATTCACTTTGCAAATAAATGCATTTATTTTTGATATATTCATATTAATTTTAGGAAAGTTTATAGTATTTCCGCTGAAATTACAAATTTCTGTACCAAAAATGAAACACTCTTTTCAAAAATTTCCTTATAATGATATTGAAATTATATGAGTATAGAATGACTATTTAATAAAACAAAAAAATTAAACACATGCAAGAAAAACAAAAATGAAAAGAAAAAAAAGTCAGGTCGACTTTCGTGGTGTCTTTCCCTCAATAAGAATTGATTGAGGTGTTTAGTTCCACACTACTTTTACTTCTAATGTGAAACTTTTCTCCCAAAACTTTATTTGTTATATATACAATTTATTATTTATAATAATGAAGCTATAGAGAGCTATAGTTTATATAATTTAAATTTATAACTAAGCCGTTGCAGGCCTAAGGATAATTGACACTCAAGTATTCAGCAGGCGTTGTATATATATCATTTTTTAATTCTTGTTTATTTCTTGGAGACTCATACCTGTAGGGGTAGTTTCAGAGTGTTAAAGAAAATCAGAATGAAAAACTTCTGTTTTTCAAATATCCATCGAAGCTGTTGAAACTAGAGAATTGAGAACAAAACATTAATTATTTCAGAAATATTTGCTTTTTTTTTTCTTTTTTCGATGCGTTAGTTCTGACATAGTTCTTACAACTTGATAATACATAATTTTCATGTCACAATTACTCTAAGATGAAATTGCGCCTCGAAGATATGCAAAATTTTATGCAATATTTCGACTATCAAAAATTCAAAATGCATAATTTGTTTTAATTTACAATTCCAATATTTTTAATTTTACTTTTTTTGAGCGTTATTACCTTCACAAATTATTTTAATTATTTTAATTTACATCGTATCAGCATTAATTAAATCTAATTCCACATATTAAATAGGTCATAAATACTTTTAATAAAATTGATATTCAGCAACATTTCATAGAAATCTTTGGAGCATTACTCCAAATAATCCCTAGTAACAGAACATTCCATAAAAATATGTTTAACATTCAAAATATTGCCACAAAATAAAGAAGTCGGCATACTAGCATTATCAAATAGATACTTTTTCGTGAACAGCGTATGACCTAGACGCAATCTGTAAATTTTTGCTTTTACAAACCTGTTGTAGGAATGCTACATTTTTAATTAGAATTAAAAAATAATTTTAAAAGGGAAAAATAAATGGTAATGGACGGAATCTTTCCAGATATTTTAAAAAAAATTTAGAAAATAAATAACTTTAAAGAAACAAAATTTTTTTTGTGTTTTAATTCAAAAGCGAAAAAAAAAAACTTTTATTTCATTTTGAATAAGAAAAAGAAAAGAAGATTTTGTTTTTAAATTTAGATTTGCTTCAATGATTAAAAACTAAAACACTTTTTTTTTTCTGTTTTTTTTTTTACTTTTTTTGTGTTTTTGTATTATAAATTGCCTACATAGTCTTAGCTAACTAAAAAAGGAGTGTTAGTATGGTAGTGTCCATTTGGTCCATTATTATAATATGATATACTAATACATATGTATGGAGAAGAAAAATTTTCATTATTTTATCTTTTTATTTGTTTTAAAAATAAAGAAATTTTTTTTGCTTTTCTGTATTATGTATCTTCAATATATGTTTGTGCAAATATGCATATTTTATGGTGAAAATATAAAATAATAAAAAAAATTCTATATGCGTTATTATAATATTATTTAGTTAGAAAATTTATGTATATCTCTAGCTAGTATGTATGTGTTTGTTTAGAAGAGTTCCTTTTACTAGATTGGTATTTTTCATTGTAAAGTATTTTAAGCTTTTACTTTTTTTTTTTGGTATTTTGTTTATTGTTTTAGTTTTTTGTTTTTTTTTCCTTCATAATATTGACCGAGAGCTAAAATATAACCAGTAAAAAGTTTATTGAGTTAAATTAAAAATCATCAGAAAGATCAGTTGGTTCTGGCCTCTCGTTCGTTGTAGACATCCAAAACTAATCCAATAAAATGGTAAGAATTTAAAATATTAAAGAAACCAAAGATATTATAACAGAACGAAAAAAAGGAAAATATAATAAGATGGAACCATAATAATATGTAAATGGATAATAACCATATGAACCATGTGGATTTACTTAATGAATTATTGATCACAGAAAAAAAAATATGATAAAAATTATTTTTTTTAAATTAAGAAATAATAATCAAATAAAAAATTTTATTTCATCGAAAAATAAATTCAGTGTAAATTTACAATACACAATAAATTATAAAATTTTTGAAAAAAAAAAAAAAAAATTAAATTTTAGTAGCAAAAATATGAATTTGAAGAAAATTTTTTGAATTGAGTAGTTTTATTTGAAAAAAATAAATACACAATAAAATAAAAGTGCAATACGTGAATGAAAATTTCCCTAAAATATTTGAATAAAAGTTATAAGAAGTGGTGGGAGTTTATATAACAATATTTAATTCCCCCTCCCACTTCCAATATTGTATGATTTAATATGAAAGTTTATTTTTTATACAATTATGCTCAATACATAAATATAGGAGGGAAATATTTTTAAATAAATAAATTTTGGACAGTGAAATTATTAAATAATTGAAATTTGAAAATTTTAATTCAATAAAAAAATTATTTAAATTGAAAATAAAAATTATTTCAATATCTAAAATAAAAAATTTTTAAGTATTAAATAAAATTAAAATTATGAAAACCAAAAATTTTTTATGTAGATCAGTAGATGCGTATGTATACACATTGAATAATATTATTTTAAATTGTGAAAAATTTTTCAATTTCTAAAAATACCATAAAATTCGTAAAAAAAATCTAAATTTTCGGCTTCCTGTATTATGAACAAAATATAACAAAAATATACATCCATACATACATATACATATATATTTAAATATATAGAAATAAAAAAAAATAAAGAAAATCTGCGCGAAACATTAAAATTTTTGTTAAAAAAAAATCATTAAGCAATAAAATCAAAATGTACAATAAATGAAAAGAAAAACAACAACAACAAAACAAAAAATATTTAGAAATTTTATACATACGATAATCGGGCAATTCTATTTTTAGATTGAAAGAAAATTTTTTTTCTTTTTGAAAAATTTTTTTTCCATTTCAAAATTTTTACCATTATGTTGTATTTTTAAATTGCAAAACGCGAAAACGTTAAAACGCAAACGCAATAAATACACATATCATTGTACGTAATGAATAATATGTATGTATGTAGGTATGTATATCTATAACTTAACATGTATTGCCAATGTGGGAACATTAATTTAATATATATGTAATTATACATAAATAATATTAATAATACTCGTATGTATAATATACGAGATTCTAAATTAAGATGCGCGGAAAAAAATTTTTCTCTTTGAGAATAAAATTATTGCTTTATCTCTATTAAATTCTTAAGATCAAATTACACAAATTAAATGCAAGAGAAATAAAGAGAAATATTTATTATATAATTAAATTATTATTAATTAAACAAATAAAAAGAATTTGAAATTAATTTGCTTTTATATAAAAAATAATTAATTAATTTTCATTTTAATTTAAATTATCTTCGAGATGAATTTTAATAAAAATTTCATTGGACATGACTGACGTATACGCTGAATTTTCTTTTTTTTTTTGTTTTCAGCATAAATTTAGTACATGATAGCACAATTTTCTATAATTAGAACAATGCCTTTTGATATTTTGTAAATTCTAGAAAATATTTTTTTTGAGTTGGAATCTTTTTGAAAATTTATACATCATTCGGCTTAAAAAAATGTTATGATAAATTTTATTTAACGAAATTATATAAGAATTTTGATCTCCTCTTTGGACTCGTACATATTTAAAAATATAATTGAAAATTATGTTTTTAGATAACATTTGAAAATAAAATTTATTTAATTTTTGAAATTGAGTAATCGACCTTTGAATATACTGTATCATTTTTGTAGAATGTAGAACAATATTGCGACCCAAAAATTAAAAGTAGACAAGCTAATGTCGAAAAAAAAAGATTTGAATAAAATAGAATTTACATGTATAGTTCCTCATTAATAAATAAAATGGTTCAATAATTTGAAAACTAAAAGCAAATGTACGTAATATTTAATATTTAGGAAAAAAATTATTCCATTATTCAAAATAAAAATTTTATAATGGAAAATTTCAATGTCGATAAACATAAACGTTTTTCTTTTTTTCGATTCACTAATATACTTTTATGAAAAAACTTAAAAATTTTTATTAAAATTTAATGAATTTTGCTTAAATTTTAGGCTGATGATAAGAAGAAGGTTAAGAAGAAGAAGCCAAAGGAAGAGGGAGGCGCTTCTGAAACCGCATCTGAAGCTGCATCTGAAGCAGCAACCCCAGCACCAGCCGCCACACCAGCTCCTGCATCAACAACTGGTTCACAACGTGGTTCACAAAAATCTGGATCACGTGGCTCAAGACGTTCCAAGAAACAAGGATCCAGCGTCTTCTCTGTTTTCTCACAAAAACAAGTTGCTGAATTCAAAGAAGTAAGTTTTTTTTTTTGTTTATTCCCTTTCGGTATAATTAAATAACTTAAATATTATATGTTAAACATATAAGTATATGAAATTTAAATATAAAATGATGAGTAATTTTTTCTTTTTTTCTTTTAAATAATTAAAGGCCTTCTCACTCATGGATCATGATAAGGATGGTATTATCGGCAAGAACGATTTACGTGCCACATTCGATTCATTAGGTAAATTAGCTTCCGATAAGGAATTGGATTCAATGCTCAGTGAAGCACCTGGTCCAATCAATTTCACACAATTATTATCACTTTTTGCCAATCGTATGGCTGGTTCTGGTGCAACTGATGATGATGAAGTTGTAATTGCCGCTTTTAAAACATTCGATAATAATGGCTTAATTGATGGAGACAAATTCCGTGAAATGTTAATGAATTATGGTGATAAATTCACATCACAAGAAGTTGACGATGCCTATGACCAAATGGTTATCGATGATAAAAATCAAATCGATACACAAGAACTTATCGCTTTGTTGACAGGCAAGGAAGAAGAAGAAGGAGAAGAAGGAGCTGCATAAGTTTAACAAGAGAAAAAAAAAATACAGTTATTTTATCATGTATATTTATATATGAGAAAAAAAAAACAAAAAAAATGTTTATAATAATATTTAAAAAGAAAAAAATTTAATATAAATATAAATAATGAAATATTTTTTATTTTTAAAAAAACAATATGAAAAAAGGAAAAATATGATAAAAAAAAGTAAAAAATAACAAAAAAAATTTATGTTTTTATTTGAGCTTTTTTTTTTTGTATTATTAAAAACAACCAAAAAAAAAAACAAAATTTTTATTATGAATTTTTTTTTATATTTTCTAAAATTTTTTTTTAACAAAAAACTTGAAAGTTTGAAAAATCTTTTTTTTAATTAATTATTAATAAAAAAAACACACTTCTAATCATCACCATCGCATTGGAAACACACATGAAAATTATTTATCATTAAAGAAAATTAATTTAAGACAAAAACATTTACAGCAACAACAACAACAATAATAATAACAAAAAAAAAAACAACAAGAAGAAATGACAACAACAATTAGATTTTAGAGAAAGTTGTAAAACAAATTTTTATTTTAATGTAAAAAAATTATAAAACAATCAAACCATCAAACAAAAATATCTTAAACATCGAACTGTCAAACATAAAAATAATAGCATTGAAAGCAAAATTATGTTTGATATCAAAAAAGAATTCATTTAACAAAACAACAAGAACAACTAGAAAATATCAAAAATTGTAAAATAATATTTAAAGCAAACAAAATATAAAATAAAAAACATCTTTACAACATGAAAAAATTTAATTAAAAATAATTTCAAATTTATATATTTCATTCGTATATATATACATATATGTATATATATGTATATATGGCAAACAAAAATTTAAAATAAATTATCAAGTTGCAACAAATATGGAAAACCAAAAAAAAAAAATTGGAAAATAAATATGGCAAACCAATAATTTTGGAAGAGCAAAAGAAATGAAATCAAAAAGAATGTGTGTGTACAATAATCAAGGTTTTATATACAGCACATATTATATACTAAAACAAATCTTTATTGTATATAACAATATAGAAATTTTTGTATATAAAAAGAACACACTTTTGTATATTTTAACGATTTGTGAGGTCAAGAGACAGCGTTTTCTTTTTTATTTGTTTTTTTTTTTCTGCTTATGTTTTTATACGACAAACATATACGAACATACATATTGTATTAAATTTGTCTTTTCTTTAAACTTTTTGTATTTGTTTCCTTTTTTATTTTTTTGATGTTTTTTTTACAAGTTTACGTTTCCAATTATTTTGTACATTATTTCAGTATATTAAAATTATGTCTTACGCTTAAAATTTCCGAAACAACTGAAATTTGAGTGCAGATAAAAGACAATGGTTATGGCATCATCATCATCATTGAATATGCGTTTCAATAATTTTTTATTTATTAGTTACATATATATATAAATATATATATAGAAAATATTTGGCTTTTGTTTTTTTATAATTTATATATATATGTATATATATATATATATATATATATATATTTAATCAAATGTTTTTATAAGAAAATAGATCTTTGAGTAATTGCAGTTGAGTTTGATAAAAAAAAAATAAGAAAAGATCATATGAATATTTAGAGGAACGAAGAGTCACAATAATTCTCTTTTCTTTCTAAAGAGGAAAATAAAATTTATGTATCTTATTTTAATAAAAAAAAAAAAAATAAAACAAAAAAAAATTATTCTTTATATTTCATTGAAATTTTTTGTTGTATTGTCAAATTCTACAATCTCAACATTTTTTAATATTTTTCTATCAATTTATATCAAAAATAAATATTTCAAATAATATACACATACGGAATCTCTTATTATGTGCAATATTAAACATTCAAACTAGTTAGCAACAAAAAATTTAGTATAATTCATTAACTTTACACAATAAACTCATTATTGAAAAATTCATTTTAAACATAGTTGTTGTAATGTTAGGAGAAATTTTAAAATGTGTGTGTTCCAGTGGTGAAAATTGTGCGAGACATGGCAATATAAAATGCCTTTTTATGCCAAATTTCGAAAACTTTGCAGTTTAAAGGTAATATACATATATAAAAATATAAACAAAAGAAATAATAAATTTACAAAATTCAAATCGGTGGCTCGTATGAATTATATCACACAATAAAAGCAATGCCGAATTTGACATTAAATGTGTTTATATCCCAATTCTGCTGTGTTCTCTTCTAATATTATTGAAATAGTTATGTTCTAATATTAGCCAATTCACAAATTTCCTAAAATAAGTTTATGGATATATTTACAACAATTTCTACAAAATGTCACAAACTAAGACCTATAAGACTATATACTTACAATAATAACATTTCTTTTTATTGCTTTCTTTTTCCTAGAAAGGAGCTACAGATAAAGTATCCATTTCGATCTAGCAAAAAATTTTAAATTAATATTGAATTATTTATTTTATGATTTGGTTAAAATTACGGTTTTAAATGATTATATACCAAAGGCAATGTAAATAATTTATTATTAATAATTCAACATAATTCAATATTATTATTAATTCACCAATTTATAGTTAATTCAACAATTAATAGTTAATTCAACAATTAATATAATTAATAGAAATAACGTTAATTTTATTACTAATTCCATATAGAGTCTCATCCATAGGTCAAAAAAATTTCAAAAATTTTGGACAGAATTCCCTTAAAATTTTATCAAACATATTGTCTGTATGGGTTAATATTTAAACTATAATGAAATTAATTTCTAAAATTTTTTTACGAAACTAATTTCAAATTCTCAACACAAAAATGTTTTTAATGTAGTCTCACAATTTTTTAACATTCTGTATTTAAGCGTGTTAAAAATCTTGCTTTAACATATATTTAACTACACCGTTAGCCTCGATATGATTCATCGCGGCCCAAAGACAAGAGAAATAGAGATAATATGTAACTTTTTAATAAATCAAAATAACCACAGTAATACTAGTACAAGGCATTGAAATTGAAAGTTGAAAAGAAAGAGAAGCTAAAAGAGAGTTAAAAAGCAAAACAAAGTTAAATAAAGTTGAATTTCTTCTTTACCCAACGTGAATAGCGTGCTCAAATATGAATTTTTGATTATGTTGCATGTAAGACTTAACTGTTTAACCAAACCAGTTTTCAGTCTTACTTAAAATGTGTTTGTGATTAGTAATTTACTCATAACGCAATAAAATTTTATTTGTTCAGAATTTAACTATTTGTACATACACAAGTATGAAATGTAATTTTTGCTTTAAAATAAAAATTGAGAAGGAAAAAAATGTTAAAATTAGTTTATTTTTTATTAATTATTTTAAATAATTATTTTAATGGTAAATTGTATAAAGAAATTTTCTATTTTAAAGAACTTATTATGAATGCACATAATATGTACAGACAAATACAAATATATACATTCATTTTTTTTATGCTTAAATATATCAAATATACAACTTGCATACTCATTTTATTTACAATATAGTTGTTGTTGGTGTCAATTTAGTGGCATATATCTCACAGAATGGCCTTCACGGAGAAATTTATTTTCGACAAGCTAATACCACATATGTTGAAATAAAATCAAAGCTGGAAACAACATTACAATATCCAGAACAATCATGGAGTTGGGCTGTACATCAATTGCCAGTTATATATACCGATACTGATCCAGTTGGACGTTGTGATTTAAGTAATATTGGTGAAAGTTTTATACAATTTGATGATGATTTAGGCTATTTAACATTGCCGGGTAATGAAACCTCAACTTGGTACAAAGAAATAAAACTAACAGGTAATTAAGTACAATGAATAGTTATGTAAATTTACATTATTCGGTGTTGGGACATGTTAATATTGAATGAAACAAAAGTTTAGCAAATTGTTTTAAATACTAAAATTTTTAATAACCAACTAAGTATACTTCAAAAGTTTTGAAAGTTTAAATAAACGAGATATTTTATTCTAAACAAAACAAAAGGAATATTTAAAATAAATTGAAAGTGAAAGTGTAAGGCTACACAAGATTCTATTACAAGCTTGATTGGGTGATTAAGTGCATAATTTAAGTTAAAACCATATTTGCATCGTACAACGTAAACAAAATTTGTTTCAAGTTCGAATAGGTAAATGGGAAAATATTGCATATATTTAGGAGAAGCATTTGATTCTCAAGTATATATTATTTAAAGTTATATATCGCATAACATCCATTATGTGAATGCGAGCGTGCTTATGCACAATATGATCGAAAAATTCAAAATATTACAAAAAAGAAACATTAATATACATAAATTATAAATTAAATTTTTGGTATCCCTCAAATTTTCTTACAAGGATGATGACATTTTTTTCTAATATATTTACGTAAACGCATTTAAAAATTTATACATTATTTTCACATTTAAGGAGAAAATGGAATTTGGGGGAGATCATTGGTTCTATCGGATGGTAATACGAGAATTTGTGCTACAATTACAACTGTCGAACAAAATTTAGAGCATATGGCAGAAGCAAAATTTCAGACACCAATTGCCGGTTCAGTATATTTCAGATGGCTTGCATCTGCTGAAAGTGATCATAGCGATACTTTAATTTATTCAAACGTTTTTCACGTACGAAAAACTGAATCAAAATTTGCATTCAAAGGCTTTACTGAACACAGATGGAAAATTTATGTAACTGATATTTTTGAAAACGATCATCACCGAAGTGAAGATAATTGTAATTTTTTACAATTAGTATTCGATCCACATGGTTATGGTGAAAAAGAAGGTTTAGGTGATTTAGATGAGAGACTCGGTAAATTAAAAGTGGCTAATAACGCCTTAAAGAAGACATTTAAAAAAATGTATCGTGATGTTAAACTAGCATTGTTACCATCAGATTTAAATATTCCACATAGAACCTTATATTTAGTATTATTTGATCATTCCCATCCAGACAATTTTATGGCATGTTCTAAAATTCGTCATGTCAAACCAATCTTTTATAAGTAAGTATAGTTTTTAATGAATTTATTTGTTTTAAATATCAAGCATATTTTAAATTGATCCAATAAATTCGATTTTAGAACATTACTAAATGCTAATGGAATCAAAGGAGAAATTAATTTTAGTCAACGGTCAACGTTTGACCCTACATTTTTAAATTTCACAATATCGTCAGCAAGCACTAAAAGAGAAGCAAATCGTGAATACGCAGCTGATGTTGCAAGTATTGCAATACACGAATTACCGCCATATCCTATAAAAGTTGGTCAAACTGATTATTGCAAAAGTAGTGGAGAGGTATATAACCCACGTGATCTCGACAAAAGTAAAATACCGCCACCTGGTTATGGTACACAAGATCAATATCCGATAGGAGACTTGACTGGAAAACTTCAAAGTAGGAATAAAGATTATTATCATAATTATATTCTTCCTGGTACAGCAGAGTTAAGCGGGATATATTGGGATGTATTTCTCCCTTTAAGTGGTGTTAATAGCATTTATCATCGTGGTATAATTTTGAACAGATATAATAGAACTGATCCTGCAAATATAACTGAAACACACTGGGCATGTGGTACAATAATGTTTTATCAAAAAAACGGTCTCCAGCAGAAACAAATTTTTACTGCCCAAGTACTATTTCGTTATCCAATTGTCGGTAGAATATTATTTAGACAACCAAAGGAAGAACCTTGGCATGATACTGTAGTTTTAATTGAATATTTAATTCATGCTGATGGTTCTAATGTAAATAATACAGATTCTCATCGATGGGCAATTCATGAAAATCCACCTGGAAAAGACTTTTACGATTGGCAGAATCGTTGTAATAGTACCGGTTCTATATTAAATGCTAACAAAGTATTTTTACAAGATAAAAATCCTGAAGACTATTGCAAACCTTGGCTAGGACAAATGTGTCGTATCGGAGATTTGCAAAATAGATTGGGAACAATATCGATTGCAGGTAGCAAAAAAAACTCTGCATTAAGTCGAAGGATTTTTATTGATGGAAATTTACCATTAAGTGGAAGGCATAGTATTTTGGGAAAGTCTATTACTATTTATGATGATAATGGTCCAAAAGCTAGAGGGGAACGATTAGCTTGTTCAATGTAAAAAAGAAGTTTCTAAATTAAGATTTAATGAACTTAAATTACATTTTCGTTTTTAGAATTTTAGGCCATTATAGAAGAAAAGTTGTAGCGAAAGAATGGTATCCGAATGGAACACCACTCACAGTTAAAGGGAAATTGGAGGTAGTCCAACAATCAGAATATGACATTAGTAACGTGGAAGTGGAATTAAAAGGATTAATTGAAAATAGTGGATATCACATTCATATAGTAAGTTAAAATTTGTGTAAATATATTGACAGTTAATATTTTTTATTAAATTTTAGACACCTGTGGAAGCAAATTTAGAGTTCCCTTGTGAAGGTTCTTCCTTGTATGATCACTGGAATCCAAGGAAAATCAATCCTAAAACTTCTCCTCCTCCGAAAATGGGTAGTACTGATCAATATGAAATGGGTGATTTGAGCGGTAAATTTGGAACACTTGAAGGCTTAACTCAATATGATGATAGTTATAATGACACAAATCTTCCCCTATTTGGTTATGATGCTATTATTGGTCGGTCAATTGTAATTCATAAAAAAGAAAAAAATTTACGTTGGGCATGTAGCACCTTAGAACGCGGCTATAGTGCATCAGAAGCTCGTGAAATCAGAGCTATCGCATCTTTTCATAATCCAGCAGGATATGCCTACGGCTACATGAGAATGACTCAGTTAATACATAATGATGGAAGTGCGAGTGATACAGTAATTGAAATCAAATTACGACATCCAGGAAAGAATGATCGTAATATGGTCAGTTTGAAATAAAAAGATCATTCTATAATTCGATTTTTTATATTAAAACTTTTTCTAAAGACCTACAATCATAATTGGCAAATTTATGTTAATCCGGTTGGTGTAGATGCTGTGGTAAAACAAACGATTACAAGATGTGTTGCAGGGGGATATGTTTGGAATCCATATTATACACAGCTTGCCGATCCATTAAATGTTGCGTTGTATGAACAAGAATGTGGTCCTGATAATCCGTTAAGATGTTATGTAGGAGATGTTTCTGCTCGGATAGGAACTCTTGGCAAGTTGTTATACATTTTTTCAAAAATTTAATGTTCTATAATGAAACGTTTTTGACTTAGACTTAGGTGTTAAAAGGACAGTAGTTACAGATCCAAATTTTCCACTTGAAGGGACACAAAGTGCTGTTGGTCGTTCAATTGTTATATTTGCTCCCGAAAAAGGAAGTGAAAGATATGCCTGTGCCAATATAGAACCTGATCATAATATTGTAAAATATGTTAATTTACAGAGACCTCCAAGATTTGTTGTGTAAGGTTTATTTTATGGAGATGTTATGTTTGATGATTTAAACACGTTTTTTTCTTTAGAGCCCAATTTTTAGAGGATATTCGAGAAGTACTCGGTGTTCCTGACTGGATGTTGGATACGGATGCTAGAAAAACAAAAATACTTCATGGTGGCTCTTGCATTACAATGATTATGCACTTTAAGGGCCCAATAGCTCACAGATTGGAGCAAGTAAGATTTAAATTTTTTAATTTATCGAAACAAATTTTAACTTAAAAACTTTTCTAGGACTTTTCAAGATTGCTCGTAAATGGAAGACTTGATGACCCAACGCTTTATATACCAGGTTACAATAACGCGAAACGAAAGAAAACAGTTTCGTATAGAACTTGCAGTGTTCGAGACCCAAATGAAAAAAGTAAATGTTTTGAAATTTTTTACATACATACAAACATATGTGCATGAAAATTTAATTTTTAAATTTGGATTTTAAAAAATTTATTTTTTAGAAAAAAAGAAAAACTATTTTTCAAGAAGTCATAGCATACAACCAAAGATGTCTTATTCTGCTTTCTTCCTTATGTTATTAACATTTTGTTGTAAATATTTTATAAAATTTGTATAAGAATTCATAAAATAAATTGTCAATGTAATATATATGTGTATGTAAATGTACAAAACTTTAACCATTATTAGTTTTACAAAGCATTTATGTAAACGTTATGGGTAATGTGAATAGGTTATTGATTATAATGTCCGGGTATTTCTAATGTTAACTGATTATATCCAGTCTATTCCGTGATTATGCAAGAAAAAGCTGATTTTATGTAGCCGTATAACGTTGATCGGTAAATTATTTTTACCATTTTGTCAAATTAGAATAACGCAATTCAATCACAATTTTAACAAATGAAAAAAAAATCTAGAAAATGTATTTGTATTGAAAAAAATTTAATAAACTCATGTATGAAATTGAGTATAAATTAGCCCCTCGTAACAACTCCTAATAATTTACATTGACTAAAATCGAACATGTGATTTTGTTTTTAATTTAAAATGCAAAATTTAAATAAAATAAATAATGATCGAGATTCAATGGTACCATCAAAGCAGGAAGATTGATTGGATTCAAATCAGAGATGAAAAATGTGGTACTATTGTACCAAATGTAATTTTTTCCGAAGTATATTGTATTAATGGTACGCTCAACTGAGATGTGATACTTTCTACTTGTATTTCATTATATTCATTATATAAAAATATTCTTTTTATAAGGAATAAAATCCAAAACTCTTTTTGTATTATCTCGAATACCGCGATTTGCCGAAAAATTCAATGAAGGGATTTCTAGATATTTGGAAGAAAGGAAATTCCAGCAATTTTCAAAAAAAAACCTTAGTTAAAATTAGATAATTCTTTATCCCAATTTAAAAAATGTAATATTATGTAATATTCCGATTGTTGGAAACATTTCTCACAATGAAAGGCATACTAATTCAAATGGGCACAAATTTTGAAAGCCAAAAAAAGCCAAAAAAAAGAGCATTAATATTGAAAACTTCACTACAAAAGCAACAATGAACACAATTTGAAAAAAATGGAAAAAATAGAACGCATAATACATGTATAATATACATGTATGGGTTTGTGTGATTGCCACCATAATGTGGTACACATTACGCAGATTGAAGTGATGCTCTCAGTTCTGGTTTGGTACGCTCAGAATTTCCTTCAACAAAAAAATTCCTCCAACAGTTTTTATTCTAATCGTTCTTTAACCATAATTACAAAACTAATAATAATAATACGAAATATTCTCTTTATATTGTTTATCTAATAATTTGCGTGAGGTTTTTTTTACTGTTTTTATTTGTTTAAACTTTAAACGAATTGAAACAAATTATATTTTGTTTTTATTTTTATTTTTCTGGCACGGAAATTTTATTAAAAATTATAAATTATGTTATTTAATGCTGCCCGGTATTGTTGATTATGACCAAATGTATAGGTGTATAAAATTTTTATTTCAATGGTATCCTTAAAATTCTTCAAATTTTTTTCATTTATTAAGTTAACTTTTTAAATATTCTATTAAATCTCTATTAAACTTTCCATTGCAGTTCAACTTTTCAAGCAATGAATTTAAAAATTTATGTACAGCAAAATAAGATTCAAAATTCTCAAAATTAATAAAATAGATGCTTGTGCGTTTTATGATAATTTTGACTCCATTTTATAATTGAATTAATAACAGGTGCATAATACAAGATATCCTAAAAAGGATTATTTTTCTAGAATTAAAAATTAAATGCAGATCCATGTTGTATGGAATAACTTGAGTTGTAATTTTTTCAAATTTTCCAGACTAAATAAAACAGAAGATAAAAGTAAGTTTGAAGTTTGCAACTGATAACTTTCATTTTTAGCTGTGCTCAGCACATATGGGGAATATACAAGCTCAGAACTAAACATATACATATGTATAATACAATTATTATATATTGTATGTTACACATATTATACAAATACGATAGCATTTATAAGGATTTCACTTAGGACCACCGATTTATATGACGTAATTAAGTTTACTATCGCAACGGTTCTAAATTTAATTTTGTTTGAATGGTGTGTGCCAAAAAAAAACGGAATTTTTAAAGTGTTGAAAAAATTATTTAATAAAAAAAATATGTCTTACCGTTAAACCCCTCAAAACTAAAGCAAGCAATATAATTAAAATTGTTTCAAAAAAACACTTCAATTGCTGAAATTTCCATGCTATATAGAATTTTCTTTCTAAAAATTAAATTTAATACAAACATTTAAGAAAAATATTGAACAACTCAAATAAAAATAACTTCCCACTTGATTCGAAGTATCACTTCAATTTAAACTCACGTGACTTTAAATGTAAATATAAACAAATATTCACTTGTCTCCTTTGATATACGATTATATATATATGTATTTATATGTGTGTAAGTTATTTTTAAGAAATATACGTTTTTAGTGGGTGAATAGAATGCTATTAATTCTAGTAGTCTGATTGTTGTCATTTATTTTATTCAAAAATTCCAAAAGAAAAGCTTCTGTTCTGTAAATGGAATTTTTTGAAAAATATTGAATAAAATTATTTGTCAATCTTTAATGAGTCGGTAAAGAATATAAGAGAGTTTTAAGGAATTGGTGTTATTTTATATTTAGTGGTTAATAGATTATAAATTAGAACTGTATTAAAATTGATGATATAACAATATAGGTAAGTAATGTATAGAAAAGCGAGTTGAAATAATCATGTAACTTTAGTTATCGCAGCCAGCAGTTGTTTAGAACTAAAGATTTTATTTAAGATTTTCAAGACGCAAGCGGTAGTTTTAATAGAGAACAAATTCAAAAACAAAAATAAACTGCGCATGTCGGCATTTACTTCTGTACTTTTCTATTGCTATAAAGGATGACAGATTGAATTGATTTTTCGTAGTAGTCAGTGAAGAAAATATATTTTTGAATTCAGTATAAAAAAATATAATAAAAAAAATAAAAAGAACCAAAAATGTTACAAACATATTATTTAATATTTTTATCATTGTTGATAAAAGATAGTTTTTGTAATTATCATGGACCATTTCTATTATGGGGTCACAATAATTTAGAACATGAAAATTTGCCAGCTTTAGAAGCAATGAATGAACGTTCACTAACCTTAATGTATTCCGAAGCAAAAGCAATTATATTATTTGTACGTAATGGAACTTCAAAACTAAATAAAGAGAATTTTCCGAATTTTAGCTCAATGATTTCACAAAATCGTTGGGTATATTTACCACAAGAGCATTTACCAGCTGAACCAGTCGATTTTAATTCAAATGTTGAGGTAAAATAATCTTATTTAGATCTGTTAGTGTTGCAAAGAATATATATAACAGTTCAATGATTTAATCGAAAATAATTTTTGTTTTAGGTAATAACTTTAGTAGGCCCAGCATCACAACAAGATATTGAATTAGGTGCATTATATCGAGATGCTGTTTCAACTTATGGTGAGGGTAAAGTTTTAGGTATTCTCTCAACTCAAGCAGAAGAAAATCATTATATTTATAAAAGAGATGTTTCGGGAGATGAAGGAGAAGAAGAAGAAGAGGAAGGAGAGGAAAAAGAAGAAAAAGAGAACAAAGATGAGGAAAAAGGAAAAACCGAAATAGAAAGTGCTAATTTAGAAAATAAAAAAGGAAAAGAGAAAAATGAAAAGAAAGGTAGAGAAGAAGAGATAGAGGAAGAAACTGAAGAAATAGAGAAAATGGACCATGTTTACTTGGCTAAAAAAAGTAATTGAATTTTTTTTTCGATTTTTTATTTATTTTTTACTTTTGTAATTTAAGAGATGAATTTTTGTTAATGAATTTGAATTTTAGATAAAAGTCTTCTATACACAACTGTAGATCCAATTTTTACATGGGAATTCAATGATAAACCAGAAGTTTTTAATTTATCACAACATGGTGATGTTACTAGTGATGAAAGAAAAGAATATGTGAGATTAATAATTCATTTTAAGTTAGATAACAACAAGGTAAGAATTTTTTCAAATGGAAATTTTCATAATATTTCTTTTAGCATTAGCTTTCCATGGTTAGTGAAGAAGATGTTTGAAATTAATTAAAATTTTTTCAATTTATTTTGATTTTGTTTTACATATTTTTTCTATAAACTTCCTGAATGGGGTTCAAATTCATTCAATTTCATTCAATTGAAGTTTAAATATTTCACTTGATCATTTCTCTTAAAAGAAATTCAAACATTTTTATTAAGGCTGAATAATAGATCCGAAAAATCAGAGTTTAGTAGAAAATTTGAGTTTCCAACTTTCCAACTCAATAGCAGAAAATTTGAGTTATGTTCTTAAACTTTAAGATGTAACTCTAATGCTGTCTAAGTTGTAATATGTAAAAAGTATACTATGTATATATTTGTAAATTTCTAAAGCAAGTAAAAGTTAATTAATTTAATAAGGAAAATACGTTTTACTAAAGTTGATTCAAAAAATTGAAAGTCAAGTTTATCATCTTCACACACAGATTAGGAATTTTTTAAATGTTTTATTATTGAAACAAAGAATTTTAAGTTTCACTTTAACACTTTATTAATGTCACATCATCGCACGTTTCACTCAAATAATTTTTTTTTTAGGAATTTTAAATATGTCGACCAATTGAAATTTTGAAGAACATACAAAGTACATTTTTACCTTTTAACAATTTTATAAAGTTTATAATGCTATCCATATGAAAATATTAAATTTCTTTTCTTATATATTTCTGCGAATAGAATAACTTTGACCAACATTAATATGTACTTTTTTAAAATCGAATTAAAATTTCTTTTAAATTCTCAAGATTATTAAGATTGTAATTTCTATAATTTTTATTTTTTAATATAATATGAAGTGCGAATTGAAATGTAAATAAGTATATATGTAGCTGAAAAAGGAAAATGAAACTTAATAATCCCTGCATTTAATGATAATTATAACAATTATAACCATATTTATTATACTTTTATTGTAAACACTATAATATATTTATGTATTTAATAATTATTTATTTTTAGTTATATGTTCGTATACGTTTTCCATTATCTGGTGGCTATTGGTCTATTAGTGAAGCTGAAGTTGAATATCGTGAAACAAAAGTAGTTTTACCATTAATATCAAAATCACCATCAGCACCAATTGGTTTTTCATATAAATGTGCACACAATGAATTAGTATTTCAGAATGGTTCAACAAGTTTAGTAATTAAAGATTATCAGGTAAATATTTAATAATATTTTAAATGATACTATAATACATACACTTATATATTCCATGTCATTGACCATACATGAAATAATTTTATTAACTATAAGTATTACGATTTTAGGAATTTTTAGTGAAACATAATTTAATATACATATTTTAATATTTTCAACGAATTTGTATAAAGAAATATGTTAAAGGCCTTAATAATTTTACAGGAGTATTCAAATAATCTAAAATTTTAATTATCATAAGTAGTATTGAATTATAAATTAAATAATAATCATTAACAAAAAATTAATTTTAGATATACAAAATTTTCCAATAATTTTTTTCTAATAATAGAAATCTTCGCTTACAATTCAGTTTTTCTAATGAATTGCAACAGTATTTTTAAATTGTTCCATTAGAACTGGTTTTTCACCTTAAAAAGATTGTTCAATTTTAGCAAATAAAAGTTAATGACATGCGTTTAGCGGTAGTAGTTCAATGAAATATTATTAATATTTTATAAGAACTTATATCTTGTTATTTTAATTTTACTACAATGATATTTTTCTTATATACGACTAACTACAAATGCAAATACATAGATGGTGTTAGTTTACTTCATCTCCATGTATGATGTATGATATTTTGAAACAATTTAAAATTATAATTAATTTTTTAACTTATTTTTTTTTTTTATAAATTTTAATAATTGAAAGAGTTCAAACAAAGTACATGACATCTTTTCCGGTAGTAAATTACACACACTAAAAGTATGTACAGAAATATTTTGGTGAATGTTGATGAAAATTTATTCAATATATCTTTCTTTTTTCCTAGATTCATCTATTGTATCCATTTAACGTATTGTTAGAGAATTTATAAATATTATTTTAATTTTTGTAATGAGAATCAAATTTAGATTGGTTAGATAATATTTATGACGTGAGAAAATATTATATGTTTGTTTTCATATTTACTATTTTCATATTTATATGTATAGAAAATTATACAAAGCCTATCACAATTTTACAATAAAATGAAATGAGTGCTTTTAATAGATATGCAAGTAAATATGGTGAAAAAAGCATTAATAAAATCTTTTTCTCTTTTTAATTTTCTTTGAAATTACTGCTATAATAAAATTGTATAATAAAATACAATAATAATATAATGATGGTGATGATGATTTTGCGAGTTCAGAGGGAAATGTTTAAAGTTTACATACTGTACTTATAATATGTGTTATTGTTGTGGGAAAATTAAGTAAAGTTTACAAAAAGCAAGGAATTATAATATTATCAAGAGATAGATTAACACTTTCAAATATTAGATATCAGGCTAGTACTCGTACATTTATTTTGAATCAAATACATTTAATCGGGTATTTCATTAAAATATAAGTAGTTTAAAGAAAATCTAGCACAAACTTTAAAAGTAAGTTAGATCTATATTAAAGTGTTTACACCAAACTGTATAGAGTCAGACCTATTACAAAATTGTACGATTATGGCTTATAAAAGGACGTCGACATAAAGAAGACGAGATGAATACATTAAATTTGCGGGCTTATAAAGATTTTTGTTTGTAACTTGTTTGTATATAAGCCCGTAAATTAGGAATAAAAAAGTAGAAACAATTTTTGTTTTACCTAATAAATAGAAAAAGAAATAAAAAAAGAAATACCTAGAAATAATTTTAAGTTTTGCCTAATGCGAGTTGTCTTTACATGGGTCCGACTGTACTTATCTAAATAATATAAAATAGATTAAATTAACAGATTGATTTTCATATCATCTTATACGAGTACGTAATACAAAATGTAAATGCTTCTTTAAGAAAAACAAAAAATTACAAAATAATCAAAGTTTTTTTTTTTTTTTTTGAGGTTTATAATGAAAATGAAAGGACAAGCCTCACAATTAAACCAAAAAAATATTATTTTTTAATTTTTGAAAATTATTAGTTTTTTCTATATTTTCATTTTTAATTTTAATTTTAATTATAATTCTCTCTACTATTGTTATTATTCATAAAAATTCCATTAAACCAAATGTGGGAGAAAATTTTAAATTCATTTTGTATTTTCATTTTTTATTTAACTTATACAAAAGTGTAAAAATTTAAATATCTTAAAAGTTAAATAAATATTATGTTCATAAATAATTTAATTAATAATTATTTATCTTCATCAAATATAAACAATTATTTATAATTGTTTATTGAAGAATTGTACATTTAATTATTAATAAAAACCTTAATTTACTACTAGCATTTTTTAACAAATTAATTACTTTTTGTAATTGTTTTTAGGTTGAACCTGTATTAAAAGAAGGAGTTGGTAAATTTAGTGACGCTTATGATTGTGTTGATTTTACAACAGTTCCAATTTGGTCAGGCATTTTTGTTACAGCTTTAATAACTGGTGTAACATTTATTGGTATATTAGCTCTAATGGATATTAAAACACCAAATCGTTTTGAAAGTAGTCGAAGTAAACAATTGACATTTACCGTGCAAGAATAAGACAATTATCGCATACCAAAACAATTTATGTTTCGTATGTATTTTTGAATAAATGCATACATTAAATTATATGATATATGTACATTAAATTATATGATATAATTCATAAAGGAAAGAAAAAAAATTGGTAAAATTATTTATTTAAATGTTTCTTAATTAAGAATTATTAATTGTTTTAAAAATATAAGTAAATATAGAAAAACTTATTTGGAAAAAATTTAAAATTAAATACAATTATAATTATCTTGTTCAATACAGTATTATAAATTGCAATATTGTTTTATTTTAGCAAAACTATTTAAAAAGGGCTGAGTTATTTCATTTATCTAGAAATATTTAAGTTAAGGGAGTGTGGAATCTTCAATTTCATTCTCATATGTAGTAACATTTTGAAGGAGTATCAAATTTTTTCAAAATCATTTTAAGATTCTACTATCTTTTTCATAAGCTTATATTCTATCTTGAGCTTATAGAAAAGATAGTATGAGAGAAACATTGCTCTAAGATTTTATACAAAAATAGGGTGTTAATTGATAATGTTAATGCAAAGGAAGAATTGATACAAATAATTTTTTTACAATAGGACGTTCAAGTTAAACAAGTTTAATAATGCAGATATCATGTTCTGACAGAAAAGCCTAGATTTGTATTGTATTACTCATACGCAATATAAATTAAAAAATTAAAAAATATAAAATAATTATAAAAATTTACTGCTCATGTTTTGGAAAATTGGAAAATTACGCTTTTTGATTTTCTATTCACTGTGTTCTTACGATTCTCTCACGGAATTTTGAAATTCCGAAAATATAAAAATAAGTAAAGAAGCAATATTTTAATATTTTAACTTTTTAACTGACTGGCAAAACCGATCAAAAGACCGGCGGTGTTAAAATCGTATTGTTGACAAATATCTATTCTCATACATAATTAATATATTCCATATTTAATTCGGTCGTTTCATTTTAACGCTATAATTTTTTCGTAATAAAAATCAATTGCTCAAAGTATTGCATACAGTTTTTTTTATATTTTTCTAGTTTTTAATTCACATAATATTCATAATTGGAGATTGTTAGAAAAATCCTTGTGATTTCAGAGATTTTATTAACTGAACTGCAGCATATAATTTTTGAAATCAATTTCAAGTAAAATTTCAGTCTTAAGGTAGGTTGTTGTTAATCTTTATAAAAGTTTTATTTTTTTGTTTAAATAACCTCTTGGCTTCATCAATTCCACTAAAGGGTGGTGCATTTTTTGATTGTTGATGATTGTAATTATTATCATTATTATCACCACCACTCATATCATTGAAAATTTTGAATAAATTTTGTTCCTCTGATTGCTTGCTCAGTTGATTTTTTTGATAGCTAACCGGAGTTTGCACGGTATCGCCCATTGACTTTTCAATTCCTCCTCCTACTAAATTATTGTATAGAGGAGGAGTACGTTTTATTTTGTGGCTTTCAAGAATATGGTGCGAATGGGAATTATTCGATGTTTTAGGAAATCGTAATGTTTCTTTGTATTTTGTTTCACTAAGAGCTTTACGCATTTTCTTCAAATAGAAAACTTTTCTGCTGTTAAGTTTTGAAATAGCTTTATTCTTGTATTCGTCACGTCTTAACGAGAAAATATTTTTTATTAATTAAAGTTTATTAAATTCAATTATTTTATTTTAATTACTCTTTTATAATTGATTCCAGTTCATCAGTTTTTATTAGCGTGTAGCCTTCAGGTGGTTGTGGATCTTCACTCAACTTACGTTCATAATATTTAATTTTTTCATAAAGGTTTTCTATCAAATTTGTATTTTGTTTAGCTTGTTCTTCTAACATTTCTATTTTTTCCTTTATTATCGGCTCCTTTAATTTTTTTGGTTCAGAATTTTCTTTGTTTTCAATGCTAGTTTTACCTAATTGAGCATAAATTGTTTGAAGAAGTGCTTTACTAATTTCATTATTTCTCTTAATACGGAATTCAGTTAATGTTTTATTAAGTTTTAAACAATCAATTATAAATTTAGCACCAGCATCAGTCAAACCACATTCTGATACATCGATTTCTGAAAATAAATGATTTGCTTGTGTAAATGGTTGTAGTGATTAATTATTTTTTTTTAATTAAAATATCAAAGGGCCACCCAAAATAGTTTTTAAAATTCGAAATTATAACAATTTTTTTAGAATTTAATAAATTTTTCAACCCTTTATGAAAGCATCATCTTTCAAAATTTCAGTAATTGCTTCAATTCCGTTGTCTCCAATATTATTTTGTGATATAATAATTGAACGTAAACCGGGTATACTTTCTGGATCTACATTATTATAACGTAGAGCATTCTGCCAACTATCTGAATAACGATAAATTTTCTGTAACTGTATAAAAATGTTTTAATATTTTGAAAATAGTTAATTTAAAAAAAAATATTACTCTAATCATGTTAGCAATATGATTCCCTGATGATCCTGTTAATTGACATTGAGACATACTAAGAAATTCAATATTTCGGCGATATTTAACAGCATTACAGATTATATCACAACCTTGATCATTAATGGAGGAACGATTAAAACTTAAAATTTGCAAATTTTCATTTTTAGATACCGCCTGAAATTTCATTAATAATATAAAGTACTGGTTGCATAGTGCAAAACATTTTAAGTTTTTTTTCTAATCCAGTTATTCGAATTTTTAATAAACTTACCTTAGCAATTAACATAAGGTACTCGTAATCTATAGGTAAACCTTCCAATTTCAATATTGTTAAATTTTGATTATGCTCAATATTATTTGAAACGGCATTAATTAAATTACAAAATATAAATCTTGTCCATATTACTGGTTGCTTTTTTAACATTCTTGCCTTTTTAATTGTATTAAGATTTTCCAAAACTATATATACATATGTGAATAATATGTATGTACATATAAAATAAAATCGTGGAATAAATTTTATTAAATGAAAATGTAAACTCTAATTTTATTTTTCATTTACCATGGCCGGGATTTTTTCGTAACTTTAATGTTATATTTTGTAATGATTGATCATAAACCAATGATTTTATTATTAATAGCCAGTCTTCAATATGAATTCGATCTCCAAAAAAATCTAATAACGATGGACTTTTCATAGTGACTTCCGGAATTGGTGCATAATTTTTTGATCTACATAATTCTTGATATCGAAAATGGAAATTTCTCATTCGATTTGTTTTCTTCTCAATGGCATTTTCAACATTAAAATTATTAAACATTTTTGCAATTTAATTATGGCTTCTTTTTTATTTGATTAATTAAGGGCAGAGAATATTATAATATTGTGAACGTTATTATTGAATTATTGTTTAAATTTTTTATTCAAATTTGAATTTTTATAATTATTGAATTGAAACAGCTTACTTACTTTGTTTTAATACAATAACAATTTTAAAAATTAATCAAAAATTTAGAAATTCCTTTTATAATAATAGAACATGACTTTTGAACAATAATTTTACCGAAAAATATACTTGGAATGTTTGGAATTTATAAGATATTGAGGGTCATCGAAGGGTTGACGAATTATGGGCTGCTCATTAAGTTTTAACATTCACTTTGTTGAAACTGCGACATGTAATGAATTTGCAAATTTTTTAATATTTTGTATATTATATTGTTAGTAAATTTATTAATTTAACTGTCAGAAGAAGTGATGCCAAATATATTTTATCTATCAATTTTATTATGTAATGTTTACCGTTAGTTATATGTATTTATGCATTAATAATTAATCAATCATACATTAATTTCTTTTATTCAAGCATATCAAATTGAAATTCTATGTATATCTATAAAATTGTATACTAAAATTGTAAAGAAGTAAAGTAGGTGGTTAAAACCTTCAGGCTAACATTTCTATATAAATAAAAAGAGACAAACACCTATACGTATTTAAATTATATAAATTTTTTTGTAAATGCATGCAATTAGTAAAATGCTTATAACTGTAAAACTATATAATTAATAATTTCGTTGATTATATACGAGGTTTTTTCTATACTCAACACACAACAAGTGTTTTGTTTTTGTTTATTGTCTCTAATATTTTTTATCTCTATGTATAAAAGCCATTCATATTTTTTTACAATTTTTCTGTTTTAAATTTGCTCTCGGCCTTATTGGGTACAGGTTGTTTCAAAATAGTAAATAATAAAAGTTTTTTAATACAATAAATTTCAATTTCTAGTTGAGTTTATTTGAATTTTAGCAAATTGCGAAAAAATCTGTTATAATTTATGTTTTATGTTACGAGTATCAGAACGTCATCAATCTGACTATTATGTCAATCACGTGATTGATATCACTTCCGTTTGCAAATGACAGTCATATATGTAATTAAAACAACTCATCTCAATTGATGTTTTATAATTTATAAATAAAAATCACTTTTTTCTTACATGTTTTAGAAAAGGACTTCATCAAGTTGCAGATTAAATTCATAACGTCAAAAAATATTGGAATTCAAGCGTCAAAAAATATTGGAATTCATGATTTTTGCAAAATCGTGTGCAAATGAAGTTCTGTCATTTTGTTGAAATAGCCATATTTTGGGAAGTAGTTCTAGAATAATCTGTAATAATATTTTTTAAAATTGACAACTCATATTTAAGAAAAGATGCATTTTACAAGTCGATGGAAAATATTTATTTCTTTCCTAAGTTTCGTATGGAACTTGTACCAGCGGTTATGAGTAAGTTTATGTATATATAACTTGAATTGAATCGGGTATTAAATAACATTAAAATAAGAAATAAAAGGAAATAAAATTTTAATATACTCTTGTGTTAAGATTTCTTTTGGGTTTTCTTAAAATAAGTGAAGGAAATAAAATTTTGCTATCACACAGTTTTTTTTCTTTAATTTCTTATGAAGGAATGCACCCTGTGTGATTTAGTAATTCTGTGAAGATGCAAACATTTTCTATTATACATATTATATGTAATGTGCATGGCACATAGAAAAAGTTTATTTTTTTTGTGTGTAGAAAAAAAATTCTAAACTTTTTAATAGTCATCATCAATTTATTGAGGCTCATTAGGTAACGCACAAAAATGTTGAATGATGAGTCCTATATATATATATGAAAGAATGTACATAATATATAAGTAAATATTTATTTTCATATTTTTATTACCTTTCATCATTAATGCTGCAATTAGATTTTATCTTTTCTTTTCAACCATATCAATACCATTTTTTCTACAATTTTTACGTTACTGTGGTTTGACAAAAAATTTTCTTCTGTGAAAGTGGAATCAAAGATTTAGTTTTTTATAATAAGAAATTTATTTTTTTATATTTGGGAAATATTAAGGGGGTAAATTAAAGTAATTATTGAATGTGTCTAAAAAGCGTTTTAGAGGAATTTTCTAAGTATATCATATGATGCCTACATTAGATTTGTTATTGAGTCGTTAAATAATTGTTCTATTTTTGATAGAAAATTTCCAAAAAAAATTTTTGTGTTAAAATTTACTTTCTTCATCAATTACGCATTTTCACAATTTTCATTTCGCACTTAATTTTTTTGAGTTCTATGAAGTTCTATTTCATAAATTCTCAAACAAGTAACGTAAATTTTTCTTGAATAAATCATTACGAAATGAATTATAGTTATACAGAAGAAAGAAATACTAATTAATTTTTACATTAGCGTGTAACATAACAGAATATGTATACTTACCTGTTGTATATATAAAGTATGTAGGGCTAGGATATACACATCGTTAAAATAATTATTTAAAGTTGTTAATAAATTTTTGAATTTTTTACAAAACTCACATATTTTAAGTCTAATAAAATTTTGTAAGTAATTCTACCATTCCGTTGCATTATAAGTACGTTTGTTATGAAAACCATTAAATAAGAAATTTTTAATTAAGAAAAAATTAAATCAATTTTTAACATTTTCATTGCGAAAAAAGTAACATTTTTTTTACAATACCATATATACAGTACATGTATATGTACACGAATATTATTCCTTGAGGTAAATTGATAAAAATTAATTGGAATTTAAGAAGACCTTGTCTTACTGGTTACATTCTCATTTTCTTCTGTTATTATATGAATATGTATTTGAAAAGCTTGGTATTTTACTAGAGTACTTTCCATACAATGTCATGTTGATGTCATTAAAGTTCAAATTCATATGAATTTTAATTATACGAATTATAAATTTTAATTACGACGGAGAGAAAGAAAAATAATTAAAAACAAAAGCAGTTACAATTAATCGTCCCAACTAAGAGTTGCATTATAACTTTTTAAATGGTGAACTTGTAAGTAAAATTATTCGGGCAATTGGCGCTGAATGTGAAATTTGAATAAATATTATTAGATATCATCGAAAAAACTGTGATATGGCCTAAAACAATCTCAATTTATTAAGATCGGTTTTTATAAAGTTATTCTGTATTTTAGTTCGAAAAGTTTTTGAAATACGACCGAATTACTTTCAAAATTGTGTGATATATATACATAAACACTCCAATCACTTTGTCGATGAATTTATAATATTATACATAAGATTTTATAAAATTTGCTGAGCTTAGGTAATTTTATTTAAAACTATGTCCAAATGTGTTTATGGCTTTATACACTATTATTTTTTTAGTGTTATAAATTCGATGATAAACTTATAATACCTGATAAAAACTCAGTTTGTAAGGATATAAAAACTGTGCGGAAGACATTTACTAGTTAGTTTGTGCGGGAAAAAATGTTTTAATTTATTGCAAGTAAGTATGTTTATTAAATAATGCATAAAAATTGTATTGTTTTTTGATTAGGTCGTATTTAAAAAGTCACCAATTAATACATTTTTTGTATTTACTTATAAATGTTTAATTAATTTTATATTTTAATGTTGAATAACTGTAAAGCTTTCCAAATAATTAATATTGCTTGTTTTTAAAAGGTCTATAAGAATATTTTCTAGCAATAAAGAAAATATATGAAATGAAAGCATCATCAATATCAAATGATTTGATCAAATAAGCCACTGCATAACAAACTTTTACTTCAAAAATTGCAGCAATACGGTTTTTAGGAACAATTCACTTCATAAGTAGCTACTGCGAATACCTGTGGTAATACAACTACATTACTGAAATTTAGAAGACAGGAATCATAAAAAATACTCCATACATTTTGAATAAAATATTCAAACTTCCTAACTTTTCTAACTTTTGGAAGAAATCAGGTGTCGGCAACTGGACGTTTACTACGGGCCGAATATACTATATAAAGATTATAATTGCGTATATAAAGAGAAATAATCAACCAATTTCATTGAAATTTAATATTTAAATTTTTCGTATTAAAACAAAGAACATATAAATTTTTTGGAAAGATCAGCGCTCGAAAACTGATCTACGGGCCGATTTTACATTTTTTACCATATCTACGGAACGGAATGATGGAATTTCTTGAAATTTGATATTTGAGTTCTGTTTGTTATAGAAACTAACTGGCGAGCATTTCAGGAAATTCGGGTAGCACAAAGCGAAACTCTACTAAGAGCCAAATTTACATTTTTCTAGGTATGTTAACTATAAGCTTGCTAATGCCCTAAAAATTGTAAAGTTGTATTTAACAGTCATTTTTATAATATTCCGTAACGCTTTCACTTAACTAGGCAATACACATTGCGGTGAGTTATGTTCTGACTACATCAGATTTTTGTTTATTGCAGTAAAATCATATATTTAGAAAATTCACTATTCTCTTTTTTGCTTTTCTTTCTCTTCTCTGAATTCATTGACTTACTTTAAGATTTTTCTATTTAATATTAAAATATTTAAATGTTTTTATAGGAAGTTCTGCAAGAGGTGATGAAATTGATTGAAAAAAATTAAGCAATAATTATGTTTTTAAAAAAATTTTGAATAAACAACAAAGAAAAGTTTTCGAAGAATTTCTGTATCATTTGTCAGCCACAATATTGAAAGACAGTTATACTGAGGAGCTTAATGAACATTTACTCATGTTCTGATTCAAAATTTTTAAGGTTTGAAAAGCGTTTTTCCAGAACGTTATTACTTTTGTACAAACTGTTGTAATTGTAAAATTTTTTATACACAAAACAAGGTTCCGAATATTATAAATGTTTTCCAATATTACTTTTTTTTTGTAACTGTTGCTTGGCTACACAAATTTGGTTTGTTTCTGAAAATCTTCAAAATTTATTTTATGTTTTGGAGCAATTTTTTTTTTATTTCATTTGCGGTTTATTACCCATAATTAAATTTTTAAAGTTCTTGAACACAAAAAAAGCTGCTTTGCCATATGGAAGGGAAAATTTTTCTTTTCCTAAATTTTTCTAACACCGCCGTTGCGGTAATAAAACTTTTTTTTTTTTTTTTTTAAATGCTTAATTTTTAACCTCATTAGTTTAATGAATGAAATTTTTATTACATGGTATAATATCTTTGGCTAAAATTTATAATAGACAACATAATATATGAATTTTTCCTAATTAGTTGTGAAAAATGGAAAAGTTGCAGTTCAATTTTAAAAAATTTCAAGATTTTAAAATTATAATGATGAAAATTTTTTTACAAGAACACAGGTCTTACGTAATCCTTTAATTTTCTATTTCCTTTTCATTCTATTCATTGTAAACACGGTTATACTTCTATAAAAAATAATTTAAATGGAAAGGCTAATTTTCATTTTCTAATTTTCAAATTGTTTTTGAAGATGTTGACAATATGTTGCGGTTTCCATTTATAACACAGCTTATACAACGATATTACGTAGATAGTATCCTATGATAGTTAGTGAACTCTTACAAACAATACTATAAAAATATACTAGTAAAGTTAAAGCTTTTTTCTTGTGCCCAATTTGGCTTATATATCAAGTGATAAAATTAATATTAAGTTGAGTATGTTGTTAAACCTATAAGTTATTATAATTTTTCTTTATTAATTTTCATTTCAATTTACTTTTCTTCATATTTTCGACTTTATTGCATCGTTTTTATGTTTCTATGATTTGAAAAGAAAGTAAAGTATTTTTAAGGTGAGTATGGAATTTTGGTGAACATGAAAATTTGTATGTGTGTATTGGTTTAAATTGTAACCAAGCCTAGTTTAAAAACTTGATTTAAGCCGAATGTCAGATTTTGCAGATTTTGTAAATTTTATATTTGAAAATGATTAAATTTTGATTTATCTGAGTATTCATTGAATTTTGAGATAAAGTAAAGTGTTATTTGTAGTGCTTAAGTTATTTTTGAAGATTTTGCGATAATATCCATAGTGCTATCGATAGCTCTGCACCTCTAATTTTGATTACGTTAAATTTTATGGAACTAAATGAAAAGTAGAGAACTAAGGAAGTAAAATAATCATTAGAATGCAAGCGTTCTAAGATGTTATACTAACAATTCGAAGATGTTGTAAAAATTATAAATATGGTGAAAAGGCGTTTTTTGGGTAGATCTTCAAGGGGCTTCCAACAAGACGCACGCATTCTTCTCAAACATTTTTTTTTTTATTTTTATTTTAATAATTTTTATTTATTTTATATCAGTAAAACGGAAATTAAATATGTATGAAAGTTTTTTTTATAAATAATGAATATTTTTAATTGAAAATATTTTTTCCCATATAAGGTTGCAACAAGTAGTTGGCGATATTTGAAATTGAACTTGTTTACAATCATAAGCGCATATTATTGCTCACATTTATAAAGTTCATGAGTGCTTGTACTTCTATCAACAAAATCATAAGTATAATGTCATAAAGATAAAATATATTTTTTAACTGTTCGCATTGTACTCTGTATATACTTGTGTTAGGCAGTTATAAGTATATAGAAAATGCTATGACATTTATTATGAAGGTATGTACAATTTAATATTATGCGAATTTCATATATTAAATATTAATTTTTATTTAATATGGAAGATTATAAATTAATGATAATTCTGGAGTTGAGCATTTTTAAAACTTGAAATGTTGTTTTAGAAATCGATTCATCTATTGATCTTTTTAATATAATGTGTGTATTTATATATTAAATAAATAAATTTATGCATCCTTTCGATTATAAATTCAATTTGAATCAAAAATGACAAATTGATAATTTTTTTTTCTTTACAAGAAATTGAAGATTCAATAGTAAATTTAAGAAGTGGGAAACATGAAAGTATGAGGAAAAATCACTTTAAAGATGAAAAAAAAATTGAAATTTTAAATGATAAGTAATCGATACATTAATTATTAAATTGTTTTTGTAATACCAAGAAACATTAATTGTTGTAATATCAAAGGAGTTGAATTAAATGAAACCAATTCAATAATAATGAAATATTTTTCTTTTTAGCACATTTTAAATCCTGGCTGTTTCATTCGCTGTTCATCCGTTGGCCGTCGTTCAAAAAAATCTAACATCCTTTACGATAAAAAGCCAGTAACAATCATAAAAGTATCAGAATTAGCAATTTTTTTTTGAATTCAAGAAACACATAAACTTTCTTCTTCTACTGCAGAACAATATTGCCAAACTTTACAATGACAAAATTGTCATTATTTTTATGAAATTTAAAGTGTTTCCGAATTGGAACGTTGTATGCATTCCATTAAAAAATTAAATTAGATACTTACTCACATAACTGGCCGCCAAATTTATTATTGTGTTAATGCTTGTTTTAGGTTTTGTTCTTATCCGAAAAGAATGCAATAATTATTTATAATACACTTGGTATTATAAGCATTAGTGAGAATAATAATTTAAAATGTAAATTGATTGATACATAACTGAATTATAAGTACTTTTAACCATTGATTTGATCCGAATTTATTTTTAAAATTTTTACAGGACCCTAATGTTAAATAAAAATCAATTGAATCTTTTATTTTTAGATTTAAAAACATTTTCTTATTTTTATTTTTATAATTATTGCATAGTCGGCACATGGTCGAACTCGTAGTTTTTGAATGTATAATAAAACTTTATCAAATCTCTAATTTAAACGTTGTCTGAGTGTTAATTTTAATATTATTTTCTGTATTATTAACTAGCCAAATATCAAGTTAACAGAAGTTTTAATTATTTCTGATGGCAAATATATAGCAATTTGATTCAGCACAAAATTTGAGTTTTATATAATATGTTGAGTTTTATTTAATGATCTCAAATGTAGACGACATGTAATATTCATATACATAAATATATACATGTACAAATACCCACATTACGCTACCATATTTTTATCCAAAAAAATCAATTATTTTTTAAGTATACGTATATACTATTATATTTAGTTTTTGTTTATATACAAAAAATTACCTGTTTCTGAAAAATATTTGTGCATAATTTTTATATTTATTTTATTTTAATTTCCTTTGAAAATTGAATAGTTTAATTTTTTGTTTAATGTTAAACGATTTTCTTTTTTAAGTAAAAATAAAATTTCTCCCTCCAATCACATTGCAAATTCTTTAATTTAATTCCGATTAATAGTGTGATGCACACTGCTTTTTAGTAGAATGCTATATGTAGTGTACGAAACATCATAATACAGTTTGCTTTCATTTGATCTTGTCATGTACATATTGTTGTATATGTATATGCACCATTTTTGATGCACATGTTACAATATTGGTAAGATTTGATTTTTTTTTTTTTTGACTAAGTTTGGATATAAAAATAAAATTTCCAACGCATGCATTTTACACTCTTATGTATGTAGAGAAAAAAAACTTTAGTATATTAATGTAACATAAATACGCAGAACATGTACATTACATGTATATTATGATTAGTTGTACTTGCTAACTCTAGGAATAGTATGCTGTTTTTATAGATAATTAGTTAGTTTGATTTCGAGGTATTATCCTGAATAGCAGCTCGTAATACTTTTTTTTTAAATAAAGTTTGAAATTAAACATAAAATCATCCTCTATTAATACAGAGAACAGATCAGTCACAAATTTTATATATATTTTAAATAAAACTTGTCCGCTTTTTTATATTGTTTAGCATTTCCATATTTTAAATATTTTTGTAGCTCTTACTTCGATCAAAAATAAATAAAAAAAAAATGCTGAGTTTAATTCTTTCCGATTTAATGTACAATTTAAAAATTAGGTTTACACACAATTGCTAAGTTATTTGATGAGAAAATGCCGAGTTTAAGACGTTTTTCAAATTCACTTTGATTAAATTCTATCCGATGCCATACAATGTGGATGTTTTCTTCTATGGGGTTTCTAATACAAAAATATAATTTTTCATTATAACAATAAGGATTTAAAATATTTGAATTTCTAACATTACTCTCGTATTTTATTAGTTTACTTTAAAAACATCAATTAATTAGTCACAATAATTGGAGTTAACATCACATTCTACTGCCATATTTTTTAAATTTATTTCAATAAGTAAACCTAAAATTGTAATGGTATACAAGAAACATTTAATTTAGACTTAATACCGGTTTTGTAATTTAAGATTCAAATACATATATATGTACATACATTTACATACATATATAGTAATTATGTACATTTATAGTAGGGTATGCCATTCCTACACTGTTTTGTATAATTGTATAAAAAGAAAATTTTTAATATATACTAAAGTTTTAAATTTCCATACTCTTCTTTATAACTCTTCTTTTTAACCTTTATACTTGCTTAAAACGCGGTATACAATGCGTTATATATTGTCAAAATCTTTCAATGTCAGTCAATGCTATGGTCAGCGGGAGAAATACTTATAATATAATTATATTTAACTGCGTTATTGCATTTTAGAAATGAAATTCACTTGAATTTTGCTGTGATTAAGAAAAACGAACGCAAAACGCAAAAAGAGAAAAAAAAAATCGTCTTTGGTATAAAATTCACTTTTCCGCATTTTTTTTCCTTTCTTTTTTTATCGGCTTCTTCGATTTCTTCTTTTCTTGTGATAAAAAAAGTAAAAGAAATGCACATGTGAGGTAACAATTGTAAAAGTTGCATTACTTTGAAAAA